GAGGGTTTAAATGGAAACAACATTTCTGTTAGGAGTGCCAATCCCGCAGTATGTCGTCAGGTGACAGTTATTTTTAACAGTGTGTACAGCTTCGCTCAGTGTGCATACTAATAAAATATCACGATGTGAGAAATGTAAAACGAAATTGAAGTGTATACCAATAGTAACTGTTTGTCAGTAGTCCAAATGCGTAAAAAACTAACATATTTACTGACAAAGGGCGGCAAAACATAAGTGACAGTATGAGAGCGTGAGAGCGGTGTCTGCTCTGTTATTTTGTCTTCCCCACTTTAAGCACAGCAGAAAAGTGAAAAGATGTAAGTGTCATAGTAGCAACCTCGGATCTCGATACAAAGAGCCGCGGCTAGTGCCACTCAACAGGCTTGCGTCCCCCAGGGGCTGCCGGCCGCCACTGCCCACATCAAACCGCATCCCTATTCCTCCTTCCCTTGACCTCTCCTCACCTTCCCGCCGCCCACCCTCTCCCCTTCCTACCAATCCCCTATCTCCTTCCTACCCCTCCCCATCTCCCTGCTCCTCCGCTCACTCCTTCCTCCTACCCGACAGATACTTCCTGAATGAGAAATGGCGACTTGCTGAGTCGTCCGGCGTGAAGAGGAAGGCAAGGGGCCCCAAGGGGAAGAAAGGAAGTGACGGGGCGGGAAGAGAGGGGAGAAACCATACATTCATCTGCCACTTCACTTCCCCACTCTCTCCCGCTCGCTGCAGCCCCCCCCCCCTCCTTCCCCCGGTCTTTCGCCCCGTTCTTCTCCTCCTACCCCAAACCCACTCCCCCGTCGGTTAGCCACGCCGCATGCCGCGCTACGCGCTACATTGTCTGCGATCATGTGGATACTGCTGAAAGACACAATGCTCTCCTCGATGCTGCCAACGGGTGAAGACTGGGGCTGCCGCGATATTGACATTTCTTGAAAGCCAGAAAAGACACTAAGACACAGACGCACACATTGAAGAGGAGAAAGGGCATGAACAGATGTAATATGAACAATGTGCACTCTCTTGTTCCTGATTTTTTACAACCCTGTAGCAGTATTTATGTTAGCTTTTAACAGCAGAAATACTGAGTATAGCACGGAAGAACAAGCCCTGGGATTCCCAGGAGTTTTCTGCATTTTCCAGGGGAATTGGAAAGCCCCAGGGGATGCCCTGAAAACACATGTTATTTTTTCAGGGGATGTCCTGGGTTTTCCAGTAGCTCCACTGGGATTAAATGCTTGTGTCCAGGGCATCCACTTGGGTTCCAACTCTCCTGGGAATCACAGGACTCATTTTAACTGTGAGCTTTTTAGCAA